TGGAGGGGGAGGCAGGAGATATATATATCAGGTTGCCAGAGAAGAACGAATAACCTAGCACTGAAACAGAGACAGACTCCTTCTGGGGATGGGGAGGGGGCGACAGTGCCCTCGCTGCAGGGTTTAGAGAACCTCTGTTTCTGAGGGGGTTAGATCATGGGATAGTCACAGCATGGAGCATGGCTACATCACATCCCCACAGGCCTTCGTGGGCTAATGGCAGGAGACTGGACAAGTGATGCTCTTGCGTACAGAGGGCAGACTTGTCGCCCTGAGCATCCACCAACATGACGCTTTCCTCAGCTCCCCCCAGCACTGACCCCATCCAGCCCAGCCAATCCAGCTCGGGAGCTGAGGACTCCCCAGAGAAGCAGCAGCAGCTAGCCACTGCCAGACACACCTTGTGGAGCTAGGGTGACCAGACATCCCGATAAAATCGGGACTGTCCCTATATTTAGGTGTTTGTCCCGCGTCCTGCTCCGCTTTTTTTTTTGCTCTGCCGGCAGCCCCCTCGCCCCATGTGTCCCGATATTTTCTTCCTCTCATCTGGTCACCCTAGGTGCGGTGGGGGCACCATCCCGAGTTATGTAGAACCAGAAAGTGCTACCTGATTAAAGGCAGCCCAAGACACATTTGAAGACAGTGCATGAAGTGTTTCCCTTTGGAAGACTACTTCACGGAGGGATTTGGTTAACACAGTAGGGTTGTAATTCTGTTTTCCTGCTGCTGAGGCACGTGGGTGCATCTGCCTCTGTTATCTGTCTGCCCTGTCAGCTGTCCCTTCAGCTTGCTCCTTCACGGGAGGGTGGGTGGCTTCTTCCCTCAGCTCCCTGTAGTGGAGAGTCAGAATTCCCAAGGCCTACGTTCCCAAAGGTACTTAGACACTTGGCTGCTTTCAGTGGGAGAAAGGTGCTTAAATACCTTGGAGGATCTGGGTCCAGGGAATAGGTGAATGGCTTGTGGGAGTGATGGGTAGAGAATGGGTGGAAATGGGAAAAACTGACCTTTCTGAGCAGGGCGGTGCTGTGTGGGAGGAGCCGGTGGGGTAGGGGCTCCAGGCCCATAGAAATGACTCATTCATTCCCTTGGGCGCCTGGGCCCATCTCTTGTCTGGCAGGACACAGTGGTGGCGCTCCAGGACCTGTCCCAATATGGAGCCTCTACTTACACCAAGAGCGGAGGAGCATCCACAGTGACCCTGCAATCCACAGGGAACTTTCAGACCCAGTTCCAGGTGGATCACATGAACCGTCTGCTGCTCCAGCGTATGGCACTGCCAGAGGTGCCAGGAGACTACCACACGGGGGTGACAGGAGAAGGATATGTCTATGTGCAGGTGAGGGGCCCAGGGGCAGGGGGAGAGGGAGAGGCTGCTGCTGAGGCCGCCTGGCTCATCCTGGAGATGGCAGGGTGAGGTGGGATGGGTAGGGGAGGGAAGGGAGAAAGAGATGGAGATAAGGATGACAAAATAGGAAAAGGTGTGAGGAGAGAGCATGTCCAGAGTTAGGGAATGGGGAGCTAGTGAGAGGAGGAAGGAGAAAGAGAAGACAAAGGAGGGAATGAGATGGACCGGGGGAAGGAGGCAGAGGAGATAAGCAGAGAGGAGATACGCACAGGCTCACATAGAACTGTGCATTCTCTTCCAGACCAGCCTGAGGTACAACGTGCTCCCCAAGCCGGAAGAGGCACCATTGGCAGGGCTTATCCCACCTTCCTCAGGGCCTGAATCCCTGCCAGGCCCTGCAGCCAAGGGGGGCAAATGCTGGACCTGCAGGATCATGGGGGGCACCGATGGGGGG